TCGCCGCGGTCGCCGAAACAGAAGCCGCCATCATACCTGTGGTCGCGGAGGCCAGTGCTGAAATTGCCAGCGTGGGACTCCCTGTACCTCCGTGTCGTTCACGTGGCAGAGCCTCGCCTGCCTGGCCAGAGCCGTGGGCACTGCTTCCTCCCGCTGCCACGGGAATCGACCACCCCCCCGTCGGGGGCCGTGGCAGAGGGGCACCTGGAGGGGGAGGCAGCTGTCCGCGCGTCCGCGGCTCCCTGTCTCAAGTTTGAAGCGTGCCAGGTCGACCGTTGCTGGAAGAGGCCGTGCCAAGGCCTGAGATCTTCAGCTCCACGGTCGGCGAGTCCGAAGACGCAACCAGCCCTGTCCTCGCAGGGGCCAAACCCGAGGTCGCCCTCCAAGGGCTCCAAGTACCTCTATGTCGCTCATGTGCCCCCCCCCCCCCCCCGTCTGGGCATAGCCGTGGTCGGCGCTACCTCCCACTGCCACGGGCATCGACCACCACCCCCCGTCGGGGGCAGTGGCGGCGGGGCACCTGGAGGGGGAGGCTGCAGTCCGCGCGCCCGCGGCTCCCTCACCAGGCCGCCCGTTGCAGGGAGAGGCCAAGCCCCTCGCCGAAGACGCCGTCCGATCGGTCGCCGAGCCCGACGACGCCATCCATCCCGAAGCCCCAAGGGTCGTCCCAGAAGTCGCCCTCCTAGAACTCCAGGTGCCTCTGCGTCGCTCATGTGGCGGGGCCCCTCCCGCCTGGTCGGTGCCACGGCCTACGCTTCCTCCCGCTGCCACGGGCAACGACCACCCCCCCGTCGGGGGCCGTGGCAGCGGGGCACCTGGAGGGGGGGGCTGCGATCCGCGCGTCCGCGGCTCACATACTCCAGTTTGCAGCGGCCCAGGCCAACCGCTGCTGGGGGGGGCCATGCCCGCCGCCGAACTCGCCGCCCAAAAGGTCACCCACCGAGAAGGCGTGGCCGAACTGGTTGGACGTGAGGGCGCGGGAGTGTGACGGTAGGGGGCTGAACCCCCTTCCCCCGCGCCCAACTGCGCCTTAGGGCCCACGCGGCTACCCGCGGGGCTTAGCGCCATCAGCAGCAGGATCAGGCCCTGGAGCAGCCTGGCCGCAGGCCTTCGGCTCGGCGCGCTGGCGAGCGAGCTCAGAGGCCGAGGCGCCGAGCTTCGCCGCGTTGCGACGGATCTGCTCCGCCGCGGCATCGCCTGCTGCGGGTGCCGCTGGGGCCGCTGCAGCCGCTGGTTCCCGCTGTTTTCCAGCGGGCTCCCCGCCAACTGGCGGGGTCGCGGGGGCCGCTGGCGGCTCGGCTGCGGCCGCAGGGGTGGCCTGGCCATCCTCAGAGGTGTCGTCGCCGAGCTTGCGCTTCTTCTTGATCGCCTCGTCGGCCTCCTGCTTGATGCGCCGCAGTTGCTCCTGGCACTGCTGTTCGGAGTTCTGCTGAGCCACCCGCGTGATGTCGTGGCCTTCTGCGCAGAGGCGCCTGAGGTTCGCCTGCGCCTCCTCCTCCAACTCGCCGAAGTTCTCGAGGGACTCGGCGTCGAAATTGAAGGTAAGCTGCTTGTCAACCTCCAGGACGGGCGCTCCGACTCCCGACGCCTGCGCCCGTCGGCGGAGGAGCTGGGCCTCCTCTGCCTGCGCTTCGGCGAGGTGGAGCGCACATGTGTCGCGCCAGCCGCGGCAGTCGACCAGCTGCGCCTCCGCAGCAGCCATGGCGTCGGCGGCTTCATCAACCTGGCGCTGGAAGTTGACACGGCGGCCCGTGGCCGACTGCAGCTGCTGCTCCAGGGTCCTCTCCGTAGCCGCTGGCGAGGGCGGCCTGTGGCCCCTCGCAGCCTCCACCGCCTCTCGGAGCCGCGCGGTGATGTCGGGGTCGGGGATGGCCAGCAGCTGGTCGAGCTCCGACTGCGACGCCGTCGACCAGGGCGCGTCAGGGAAGCTGGTGCGAGCCCCATGTCCTGAGGTCGCGCCCCCTATGCCACCACCAGACTCAGCGCCGTTGCCGCCCTTGCCCTTTTTGCCTCCCTTCGGCTGGGCCTTGCCACCGCTCCATTTCTGTTCTCCGCCATCTGCCCAGACACCGCGACGCGGAGACAGCTTGGCAGGTGGGAACTCCAGGCATTGGCCGCACTGCCAACAGGTCGGATTCTTGCGGAAGTTCCATCTGTAGCGGCAACCCGTGCAGATGACAAAGCCAGGGTGAGCCTTCTTCGGCGCCATTGCGAGCACGAGGGTACCCAAGCCTGCGCAGTCGCGGGGCGGCGACAGGCAGCAGTCGACGGGGGCGGACCCGTCGACTGGATCAAAACTGTCGGGCTGAGGAGCCCTGGCACTGGCCGCGGGCTAGCGGTATCCACGTGTTCCCCTGTGGAACAAACCATCTTGAGCCAAAATGGCTACGGAGGAGGAGGAGGAGGAGAAGGCCACGGCAGGAGGAAAGATGTGTCCTAAGGCGGGGGTGGGGCGAACGATCTCACTTTCTCCCTCAGCGCGCGCGTGGCTGCACCGGGGGTCTCCGCACGCGGATTACACATCGGGGCTACACTTGGGGGGCTGCACTTGGGGGGGCTGCACTTGGAGGCTACACCTGGAGTCTGCGCGTGATAGAGGCGGTTCGCCCGCATCGCCGGCCCCTCACTCTTATCCGGGGTGCTCTGTATGATGTTTGCTTTGCACCCCTTTGGCCACGGAGGGGCCCTCGTCGCCATGGTTGGACTCGACTCGAATGCCAATCAGAACGCACCATGCCCATGGGGGCATCTTGTTTTCTGTGCCGGCCCACGCGTCCGACCAGCGGTGTACAAGGGGGGGGACCCCGGAACACCACGCACTACCACGATCGCGGGGTCGACATCGGGGAGAAGGCGGCTCGGGCCTAGAGGATTGCCTGCAGCCCTGCTATGACCGCATCCCATAGGATACGACTTGCGAAACAGATAAATCTGGCGCAACCCCAATCAGGGGAAAGCTTCCTATTGCATGGACGCAGGGCTCGGCATTGCTTGGCATTGCTTGGCATTGCGTGGAACTGCTTGGCATTGCTTGGCATTGCTTGGCGTTGCTTCGCATTGCTTGGCATTGCTTGGCATTCCTTGGCGTTGCTTGGCACCGGGGGCGGGGAACCCCGGGAACCTCCGGGGACCGGGCAACAAAAACAATAGGAAACACTGGGAGCGGGGAGCCAGGGGAACCTGGGGAACCCCCAGAGACGGACAAAGCCAAGTAAGAACCCCTTAGGCAAGCCTACTTGGGGGAAAACGGAGGAGCGGAGGCGTTCTGCACATTCGCCCCGCTACTTTCCGAAATCCTCATCGTCGTCCTTTCCCTTGCATTCCTCTACTCCTTCCTTCGCCGCATCCATACAACCATCGTTCTTTCATTCTGGCGCCTCTGACCACTCAGCGTGACAGGGCAATCTCACGGAAGTCGACTGTCCACATCAAGACTGGGAAACGGCTCAAGAGGCTCGGGAAACTTCGGCCGACCGATACTTACAACAATTCGTCGGCCCAGCGGGCCAGCGGCGCGCTCGGGTCTACGGTGCGGGCTTCTCGGTAAGCATAAGTGATTTGATTCGCGCGGGCGGTTGTGCCTGGAAGTTGCTGCGGGGAAAAAATGATCTCCGAGCGAAGGACCCAGCCATATGGCCGGTTCTGGGATCCCTGAAACTGATCCCAGGCATGTTAACATCTCTTGGGGAAACATTTTTTACATCCGCCGAGATTCTGCCAGCTTCCGCCAGCGGCGGCGGCCTCGCTTTACTTCCGCCAGCTTCCGCAGGCCTTCTGCCGCCTTCCGCCGAGGAGTAGCTGTCAGCTCCGTCGGCCCTCGAAGGCAAGGACCTGTCCGGAGCGACTGCGCGGATGCGAGTATCATGGTGCAGGCGAGATCAAGGAAGGGGGCAACAAAAGGTCAGGAAACGGCACCAATGTTGGGGGACAGGCGAGGCCCCCCGAAGATGCAACATCATGCTTGGACACGGGGGCACGGGGAACACCCCGTCCTAGGGGGGTCGCCGGCGGAATTAGGAGGGCTCCCACTGGGTTTCGAAGAGGAGCTCACGTTTCCTGAAATCACAAAACGCGCGTTATGCGGGTGGGTGTGTGGGTGGGTTCGCTGGCACATAACATAACACGTTGCGCGCACACACCTGTGCGCTGCGCAACGAACGCTGCTGCAACGGGGGTGGGTGAAACGGAGGGCGTGATGTTATCTACCGGGCGGGTGGGTGGGTTGGAAGCCACACAACGCGCGCTGTGTTCGAGAAAAACAGCCCCAAGGCCGCGCTGCAAAGAGGGCCCAAAGAGTGCCCCAAAGGGCGGCCCACGAGCGGGGATGACAGGGGGTGGCAGGTCCGACGACGGCCACCCCCCACGAACAGCCAGAAGAGGCTACGTAATGATGACCCAGAGGCGGCCCCCAACATGGTCCAAGATACCTCTCGCGAGGGCAACGCTACAACTTGATAGAGCCGCGAACCCCGACCTTACAGCACACTTGCGCATTCATGAGCGGGGAGAGGAAAAGGAACATGGGAAGCTCGAGAAGAGCGAGGCTGACAGAGGGAGACGGAACGGCGATTGGTTGACTGCCACTCTGTCAAGTCTTTTCAGAGAGCTCTCCAAAAGAAGGTCAAAGTCGCTGCATCTTCTCGCGCAAGCGCGTGGCCGTCGATGTATTCGGCACGCAGCCGCGCCTATTGACATGCTCACAGTGGTTCGTCCCGAGGGCATGTTCGTAGAAAAAAAGCGGAACAGAGGCACTGGAGCCTAGACTAATCTCACAGGGGGCCTTCTGATGCATCTTTGGGCCCTTCCATGGACATGGAGGCCTCTCGAAGCCCATCTTGGAAGGTTTCTTGGGCGGCCTCTGGAGGTCTTTTAGGGCTGGGCCGTCCTGAGCTCTTGGGGCCCCCATTGATGTCCTCAATGAGGGTGTCTTGGACGCCTTTTCGCCGCTTCTTGAAGACCACCGTGAGGGCCTCGGAGGGCTTCTCGGTGCGCTCCTGGGGTTATGTTGCTCCTGTCGTACTCCAGGACTCAAGGACCACATCCCAGAAATAGTTTCGAGCACCCAGACAAGTATCGAAACGGTGTCGAACGACTATCGCCTCCCAGAGCCCGACACGTGAAAACCCCTAGTTTGTTATTAAACAATTGAAGAATCCAGGAATCATGCATGGATCATGCCGATGCTGCGTTGGCACGGCGCCGGGATTCGCCACAGGCAGTCGGATGCATGAGAGCGGGCAGCTGCAAGCGAAACCCACATCCAGCAAGCCTTCCAATAGTCATGCTCGCCCCGCCACTAGGAAGCCACTCACATTGAATCAAGTGTCCTTCCCAAGAAGCTCGTAGGTCTTGTCACTTTTTGATGCAATGCTGCTGACCTTGTCTTGCACATGCCTGGCTGCCACTACACGGAACATGAAGGTCGAGCCGTTATGTAAGGCCTGCAAAATAATCAAACACATGAACAAGGAATGAATAATGAATGAGTTCCACATGATGATGCTGCAGAAGCCGGTCGTGAAAGTAAACATGAAGTGCTGCAACATGTAGCCTGGTGGCCACAGAGGTTCTGGAAGTTTTGTTATGAATCTGCCAGTCCCTTCCTTGTCTTCCACCGTGAACGTATAAAGGGACTCCTTGTTATTGCGCACCAGATAATCCTTTAGAAGGCATAGCACAACGAGGTAGTACGGAATGCCCCAGACTATGAGCCAACACATCGCAGGATACACGACGAATTGCATAAGTGTGCCCTCGCATGAACCAGTGTACCAGAGCATGTTCCTCAAGCTTGAGAGTGCTGCGTCTCCTTCGAGCATGTTGGGGCAAACTTCGAACATGTTTGGCCACGTACTTTCGATTAGAGAGGTTCCGTGCCCACCACCCCAACGAAGCGCCCAGAAGAGCAACCCAGGTGACGTATGAATGTAAACGCTCGCGAGGTTGTCCACATCATGGAACACAATCTTGTTTCCGAACAGGGGCACTGCCAAAGCCAAAGCACCATTGGCAAAGGCAAAACCACCCCTAATAAGCTCGAAGTTGTAGCGATGAAGAAAGGTTTCGTAGCCCGTGGTTATGCGAATGAGAGCTGCAAGGCAGCCGATGACGCTTAGATATGTATTAAAGTAACAGAAATCTGCCATGAGCCATTCCCAATTCTTCTTCCGAAAACGGAGGAAACGCCATGGCAAATAGACCAAGGCCTTCAACAAATGAAGTAGCCAGAAATACTGTGGAAATCGAACAACCGTTACTACTGTCAATGTGTAGTTTAAGACTCCCACCGTGTGCCCAATCTCCCACACCCCGAACTCCTCGTAGAGGCGCTTGCGCTGATCCTTGTCCAGATCCTCGATCGTGACCGCCATTGCCTGCAAGAAACTGCGTAATGCGAAATGCCGGTTAGAAGATCTTAAGCTTCAGCGGGTACTTGAGCCAGCAGGGCTACGGCGTGAAAACCCTCCAATTCTTGGTGTTCGATGATGGGCCTGTTTTCCACCACCACCATCACCATAAGTTGGAGGGGGAGGGGGTCCTCCTCCTTCTCCTCCTCTTCCTCCTCATCTTCCTCCTCCTCCTCCTCCTCTTCCTCCTCCTCCTCTTCCTCCTCCTCTTCGTCCTCCTCCTCCACCTCCTCCTCATCCTCCTCCTTCCCCCTCCAACTTATGGTGGTGATGGTGGAAAACAGGCCCATCATTCGAAATTCTTGGTGGTGCTTCAGGCTGAAGTAGGCTGGAGCATCATAAGTCTTCGGGGATCGTGTGCCGCTTCTTGAAGACCACCGCGAGGGCCTCGGAGGGCTTCTCGGGGCACTCTTGGGGGTCCTCTCAACGCCTCTGGGAGCCGTCTTGGGGGGAGAGCCTCTTGTGCCTTCGTGAGGCCTTGAGTCGACGATCCGGGTGCCCCAAAGAGGTTCACTGACGGCGTGGCGATCGGAACAGCGTTCGAAGGCGGATACACTGCAACAACCGGTTCGTGCGCAACGCATTGTTCAACTCGCTCGGGAGCAGCGTCGAACCATCTTGCAGGCTTGATTGGGGCCCTCTGGGGCCATCTGGAGCCATCGTGGGGCTACCCCTTCAGCTAGCGGGGCTCTCTAGGAAGCCTCTCACGGCGCGTCTTCGTGTCATCTGGGGGCTCCCAGTCGATGCTGAATGTGCACCCCTGGGACCTGCGGCAGGACTTTCGCCACAGGTCTGACGGCGGGCTCGCCCCCGACCCCGCAAGGGGAACGCCAAATGGGACCCCGTCCGGAGCGTAGGGGGAAAAAAAGGCATGTTTGAAGCAACATGGTCCTCTCACAATTCTGCTGCTGATGGGCTTCTGAGTCTTCAAGGTGGCTCCGAGATTGACCAGTATGGCTCCAAGAACACTGGTTAGACCGTTAGACTCCAGACCTCGCAGCCGCAAGCATATTAATTGGACCGTAGATTCACTCGGGCAAAATCCACTTGCTTTGCTCCAAACGCGCAGCCCATTGCAACCTAGGGAAGCCACAGCTCCGATCACCACGCTGCCCATGTATATAAGTCTGTCCAGACGGGGACCAACACGAACACCTGCAGTACACCAGGAAAGAAGAGCTGCATCAAGCTCCTGCACGACCAACCTCAAGCCAGCAGCATCAACGTAAAGCTATCAGGGAAACGCGAGGACCTCAATGGTCGCACGTGGCAGCATGACCCCCTACTAAACGAAGACCGCTAAGACAGAGAATCCCCTCCGAGAACTTCCAAACTGACTGTGGCTACCGGCTGCTACAAATCAGCAAGGCTGGATGAGAACTGCCCATGCGGAGGGGATGCAGGCGAGGATGAGAAGAGGTGTCGAGGAAGAGGACGAGGAAGACGCCTGGACATGAACTGGGATACTTGGATAGCGCGCGCGCGGAGTGCGCCTGTGGCGGCGCCCGAGGCGCCGCCGGGGGGAGACAGTCTGGATCCAAGAAATCCGCGCAGATCGCCAAAAAGTTTATGTTTATGGCGTTTCTTTTTCTTCGACGCTTGCCAGACAAAAGACGACGCTTGCGGGCACACATGCCAGCCAGAGGTACAGCGGAGGCCAGTCCACACGAGCCCTTCCACAAGAACACTCTGACCCTGAGACCCCAGGATGTCCACCGATTCATGGTGTAGGAACATCACGGCTTCCATCGCAAAAATGATCGAAACCCAAGGATTGAGCAGGGAGCGACCGTCCCGGCATTCCTATAGTCCTACCACGAAATGTTCTTAGAGCCCAGAAATGCTTTAAGGACAAAACAATGTCCTTAGAACAAAAAGCCGATGTTTTTAAACAAGATTGTCCCAGCCAGACATGCTCTGAGAACATTTCCTGGAAACCACAAAAAGGCTCTTAGAACACTGTTTGGTAGGGCTATTGGCGAGCCAGGACGCTTCACCGCTACTTGAAAGGAACCCTGGGCACACTTGAAGGGGCCCTGGAACACACAAATAGATACACACACAAACAACATACTTCCGCATAGTTTCACATGTTTTCTGGGCTTTTGTCTTCCCCCCCGCTCCCCATAGCTTCCCATATTTTCGGGGGAGTCGGCGATCGATCCATTGTGTCTCTGTGTTTTTTCCCTCTTGAACACTGGCGGCAAGCAGGGTGCCTCTTGGCACGGGTGTCCCCGCTGTGCCCGAAAAAGCTCACGGGGCGCCTCCGGGTCGACGTCCACGGCGGCGCGGCGCCCGTCGGGCATCTCCAGGAGCAGGGCGCAGCGGTAGAACCCGTCCAGCAGGTCCGCACCTTGCGCTGGACCCGTCCAGCAGGTCTCCTCCTTCTCCTCCTCCCCATCCTCCTCCTCCTCCTCCTCCTCCTCCTCCTCCTCCTCCTCCTCCCCCTCCTGCTCCTCCTCCTCCTCCTCCTCCTCCTCCTTGCTCTCTCAGTCCTCGTCCTCCTCATCCTCGTCCTCCTTCTCCTTGTCTTGCTCCTCTTGCCTCCTGCCTCCTCCGCCTTCTCCTGCAACTCCTCCTCCAACCCCTCCTCCTCCTCCTCCTCCTCCTCCTCCTCCTCCTCCTCCTTCTCCTTCTCCTCTTCGCCCCCACCCACCACCACCACCACCACACGCGGGCCTGGAGATGGCCCCAACACGCCGTCCAGGCCGACCTCCCTGGCGGTTTAACTATGCGTGTCTCTTCCTCTCTCTCCCGGTCAGCTCTCATGGGCATCGTTTATGGATGGGCTGGTGAGGATATTGTTTGATCGCGAGCGACGCAGGCAGCTGCGCGCCGTCTGAGAAGTCGAGAGAGTGCAGGCCAAGCGCAGGCAGCACGAAAGGCCGGTGAGCATACGCGAGGCGTCAATAATGTATGTTGTTCTCACCATACTTAAGGATCACATCCCAGAAGAAGTTCCGAGCACGCAGCAGAGCCCCGAAACTGTGCCTGCCCAGCCTGCACGCGGGCGAGGTGTGGAACGAGGAACCCGCCTCCTGTGGCCCCACAAGTGAAAACCTGGCAGGCTCGGTACTCTCTTGGTGCTCAAAGTTCTTGCTGGAGGTCTAGGAGGAGGAGGAGGAGGAGGAGGAGGAGGAGGAGGAGGATAAGAGGGAGGAGGAGGAGGAGGATAAGAGGGAGGAGGAGGGGAGGAGGAGGAGGAGGAGGAGGAGGAGGAGAGGAGGAGGAGGAGGAGGAGGGAGGAGGAGGAGGGGGGAGGAGGGAGGAGGAGGAGGAGGAGGAGGAGAGGAGGAGGAGGAGGAGGAAAGGAGGAGGAGGAGGAGGAGGAGGAGGAGGAGGAGGAGGAGGGGGAGGAGGTTGGGACATCATAATCCTGATTCATCCTTTCATCCTTCGTCAGCCGTGGGAGGAGGAAGAGAGCCCATTCTGCGAGAGCTGCACCTTTTCAGCATCGCTGCGGTCGCAACACCAACACACGCTGGTCAACATACAACCAGGCCGAGCACCCCCTCGGGTGGCCACCCCTCCCCGTCCAACCCTGCCCACGGCAGTCTGCCTGTTCCATAAGATACAGTAAGGGTGCGACCAAGCTCTGGAACGCTGACGCAGCACGGGGAAAAGAAGGAAGGAGGAGGAGGAGGAGGAGAAGGAGGAGGAGAAGGAGGAGGAGAAGGAGGAGGAGGAGGAGAAGAAGAAGAAACAGGAGGAGGAGGAGGGGAAGGGATGCGAGAAGGCGGACGGGCAGAGGCGTGGGGGATGTGCAGGGGAGGAAGAACGGGCGGAGGGATAGGAATAGGGAGCTGGCGAGGCGGAGTAGGGGCAAAGGGATGAGCAGGACGGTGAGGCAGAGAGGGGGAGGAGAAGGAGGAGGAGGAGAAGGAGGAGGAGGATTCCAGGATAGCGAGAAGCAGGAGAAGGAGGAGGCAGAGAAGGAGGAGGTGGAGGATGAGGAGGCAAATGAGGAGGAGGAGGAGGAGGAGGAGGAGGACGAGAAGGAGGAGGAGGAGAGAAGGAGGAGGAGGAGGAGGAGGAGGAGGAGGAGGAGGAGGAGGAGGAGGAGGAGGAGGAGGAGGAGGAGGAGGAGGAGGGGGAAACGCCATCGGGGTCGCCTTCCGCCAGGCCCGCGCCTTCCACGGCCTCCTCCGACTGACCCTCTTGCCCTGGATCCTGCCCGAGGATCGGCGGTTGCCAAAGGCGTTTCCGGCCTAACGGCCCCCAGCTTTTCGCTCCCTGCTGGAATCGGGGCCCTCTGGACCTCGGGAGGGGACGTGGGGACCTCCGCGACGACCCCTTGGGACGCGTTCTTGGGCCAGGGACCCACAGCGAGACGAGAGCCTCGCTCGGGGCTCTACTGACCCGGGTCAATCCAGACCCGGGCCAGTCAGACTTTGCGCAGGATCCTGCAAGACCTTTCCACCAGCCTGCAGGATCCTGCGCCCAAGCCCCGTGTCAAGGCAACCCTGGCCCTGCAGGATCCTGCGAGATCGGGCGCTCTGGCTGACCCCCTGTCTGCATCCACCCTCGTCTCTTGAGCCCCGACTCGCCCGCGCCTTCGCCCCGCCGGCCCGGCCAAGACCGGCTAAGCAGCAACAGAGGAGGAGGAGGAGGAGGAGGAGGAGGAGGAGGAGGAGGAGGAGGACCAAGACAGCGAGGAGGAGAAGGAGGAGGAGGAGGAGGAGGAGGAGGAAGAGGGGGGAGGGGGGAGGGGGAGGGGGAGGGGAGGGAGGGAAGGGGGAAGGGGGAGGGGGAGGGGGAGGTCGGTCGGTCGGTCGGTCGGTCGCTGCATCGGGCATCGGGTCGAAGATCACGCAACCCCAACTACACATCAGAACGCATCGATATGTACGACCTGCAGTGCGCGCACAGGCATAGGAAAACACGGCGTGCCCTCCCTGGGAGCCCCGAATTGTCTTCGCTCTACCATTTACGGTGAGACTCGAGGATTTTCAAACGTTCAGTTAGACTGAGTTTTGCGAATTGCTGTACGTCTGCTGCTATTCTATTGCTACGTTAGGAGGAGGAGGAGGAGGAGGAGGAGGAGGAGAAGGAGTCAATGCCTGGGGCATCCCTGCCCGTCCCTGCCCGCGCCTTCCGCGACGACGCGCCAGCCGCGGGCGCCGGCCGCCTCGGCGAAGGCGCCGGCGACGCTGGCGCGGAGGGGGCCCGCCGCGTCGAGCTCGTCCTGGCCAGCACGGGGCGCGGGCGAGCGCCGAGATGCGGAAGGGGGAGGTCGGCTACACGCTTAAGAGCGACCCTGGGCACAGGGCAGTTTTATGATTGAAGGTGGGCACAGGGCAGTTTTTTAAATACATGGGATTGTTTAACACATAGGATCTTTCATACATGTTTAATGTATGGGTAACTGTATGCACGAACTCATCGTTGCTTTTCATGCTAGATCCCTGCATTCTTAATACATGATCCGCACGCGGAGCATGTATAAAAAACGGCACTGTAGGAGTGACCGCTGGAGCGCGGCTTCTTGGGGGCCGCGGGTGAGCGCCGATATGCGGAAGGGGGAGGTCGGCTACACGCTTAAGAGCGGCCCTGGTCGGGCGTTGGCAGAACTAGGTTTAGTGGAACCTAATTTAGTGGTTTGTGCCGGGGGCGCCCCCCCGTCCCATCTCCACGAACCGGAACTGCCGTCACCCGGAAAACACCAGTCACGGCACACCTGGGTTTAGTGAATCTGGCACACCAGTCACGGCACAGGGCAGTTTTTTAATACATGGGATTTTTTTAACAAATAGGATTTGTCATACATGTTTAATGTATGGATAAATGTAGGCACGAAACATCGTTGTTTTTAATGCTAGATCCCTGCGGAAAGGGGATGTCGGCTACACGCAAGAGCGGCCCTGGTCGGGCGTTGGCAGAACTAGGTTTAGTGGAACTTGATTTAGTGGTTTGTGCCGGGGGCGCCCCCCCGTCCCATCTCCACGAACCGGAACTGCCGTCACCCGGAAAACACCAGTCACGGCACACCTGGGTTAGTGAATCTGGCCAATTGAGGGGCCCCAGGGCCCTACCACTAACCGGGTCCCCTTACCCGGGGTCCTGGCTATACCCGAGGTGGGCACAGGGCAGTTTTTTAATACATGGGATTGTTTAACACATAGGATTTGTCATACATGTTTGATGTATGGATAAATGCATGCACGAACTCATCGTTGCTTTTAATGCTAGATCCCTGCTTTTTTCATACATGATCCGCACGCGGAGCATGTATTAAAAAAAACGGCACTGTAGGAGTGACCGCTGGAGCGCGGCTTCTTGGGGGCCGCGGGGGGACCAAACGCAAGCGCGCCAGACGCTGCTATGGCATCGCCTTCGGCGACCAGGAGACCCCAGTGGGCCTGCACCAAGGGTTACCAGGGTGGGCGACGGTGGTGGCGAGTAGCCCAGGTGAGAGCAATACATGTATCCAGGGGCGTCGATAGTCCATGCCCCTGGGCTATTCTCCCCTATATCGTCGGCTCCGATGCCATGACGATGATAACATCGGGTGAGGATAAGTGGGGAATCTCTGAGATCCGGCGGATCTGGAGGATGTAACGGGAGCCGCGGCCTTCTCAGAGCGTTCGGGAACGCTCTGCACGTGTTCCAGAACGCTCTGATCTGAATGGATTTGTCCTCGTCCTGGTCCCGTCCGAGCTGAGGGGGGAGGGCGCAGAGCGAGACGCCTTGACATCCACTACCAGCCCCAATTGGCCACCTGCTGGCTGCGAGCATGGGGGCATGAGCGAAGAGGGGACCGAGCATGCAGCACACCAGGGGTAGATGCAAGCGCGTGGTGCTTGGAAAGACCTCTGGGAGAAGGACCACGACCGCATCCCTCTTCCTTCCCGTCTCCTCCCACTCCTGCCCCTTCTCGGAGGGGATCGCGACGTTCCTGGGAGATGGTGCTGCTGTCAGCGCCACGAGCCGAACAACCGAATTCTTAGGTCGCTGCCCACTGCTGCCTCCGACATCCCCCCCGCCAATCCTGCCGACTGCAGAGGCGGATGGCACGATAGGCAGCCACAGATTTGGGCAGAACGTCCACGCTCGGCAAGATCCGCCACCGTGCCATGGTGCACGAGCTCGAGTGCCCTCAGGCCCCTTCGAGCTCTCTGCATTGATTGCTGCAGATATGTTTTTGAAGTGGTCGAGGGCCCGAATTTCCAAATCTTCTGGGCGCTCTTGGTGCCAGTCGCACCGATGTTCCAGACGCGAGGCGGCGCCAAGACGGGCCAAGCGAGCCCAAAAAGCGCCAAGCGGGCCCCAGAGGCCACCAGGACGGCCCAGGAGCGCTCCGAGCTGCCCAACATGGTCCCACGACGGTCCAAGAGGCCGCCAAGAGGCCCCAAGATCGCTCCAAGAGGACCCCCAGGAGGGCCCCAAGAGACCGAAATCATGGATTTGTCCAGGTGCTTGAAGGATTCTAGTGTTTTCGCGTTTTCGGGCTTTCGGCGCTCCAAGATGGCCTCAAATATTGCCCCAAGACGGCTCAAGACTCACCCAAAGAGCTCCTCCACACGGCCCCACGCCGCAGATACCCTCCACAAGCTACGGGAGGCCGCTAATATGCCAAAGTCGCGCCACAAGGGGCTCCCCAGAAAGACCCCCGAGAGGCCCCCAAAGACACCCCGAAATCGAATCCAAGAGGCTTCCAGGATGCCTCGCAAGAGACCCCTACAGTTAGGTCGGGCATGTCCCACTACAGGCCCATTGGAATAACTATTACTGCAGGAGTAGCTTGGGAGATTTGACGAGACGGCGGCGACGTGACGTGGACGCATCTATTTTTGCGACCAGCATTCGGAAGGTTCGCAGGTCCCCAAATCAAGGGAAAAACGATGAGTAGCTAAGTGGACCCCTGAGTCACTGAGGAAAACGCCAGGTCCAAAAGGAGACTGTGGGCAAGGGGCGTGAAACGCCGGCGGGGCAACAACACCATGAAATGGCCGCCCAAGTACGGCGAGGTCCCGCTCAGGTCCGCGCAGTGCCTCGCTCCGCTGGACCCACCAGCGGCCCTCGAAAGTGGCGAGCCAACCAGCAGCCTCCGAAAGTGGCGACAGGTTTCGCAGATCGCAGCCCCCCAGGGACGGCGCAATCTCGCTTAGGTCCGCGCGATCCTCACTCCGCTGGACCCACCTGCAGCCCTAAAAAATGGCGACAAGCTTCGCAGATCGAAGCCCCCAGGGACGGCGAGGTCTCGTCCAGGTTTGCGCGGTGCCCCACTCCGCTGGACCCACCAGCAGCCCTCGAAAGTGGCGACACTTTCGCAGATCGCAGCCCCCCCAAGGACGACGAGGTCTCGCTCAGGTCCGCGCGGTGCCTCCCTCCGCTGGACCCACCAGCAGCCCTCGAAAATTGGCGACAGTTTCGCAGCCCCCCCCCGGACGGGAGGTCTCGCTCGGGTCCGCGCGGTGCCTCCGTCCGCTGGGCCCGCTCAGGTCCGAGCGGTGCTTCACTCCGCTGGGCCCAACAGCAGCCCTCGGAAATGGCGACAGTTTTTTACAGATCGCAGCACCCCAGGGACGGCGACGTCTCGCTTAGGTCCGCGAGGTGCCTCGCCCCGCTGCACCCACCAGCAGCCCTCGAAAGTGGCGACAGGTTTCGCAGATCGCAGCCCCGCCCGCCAGGGACGGCGAGGTCCCGCTCAGGTCCGCGCGGTGCCTCACTCCGCTGGACCCACCAGCAGCCCTCGAAAAGGCGACAGTTTTGCAGATCGCACCCCCCGGGGACGGCGAGGTCTCGCTCAAGTCCGCTCGGCGCCTCACCCCGTTGGACCCACCAGCAGCCCTCGAAAGTGCCGACAGCTTCGCAGATCGCAGCACCCCAGGGACGGCGAAGTCTCGCTCAGGTTTGCGCGGTGCCTCACCCCGCTGGACCCACCAGCAGACCTCGAAAGTGGCGAAAGTGGCGACAAGTTTCGCAGATCGCAGCCCCTCAGGGACGGCGTGGTCTCGCTCAGGTCCGCGCGGCACCTCACTCCGCTGGACCAACCAGCAGCCCTCTAACGAGGCGACAGCTTCGCAGATCGCAGCACCCCAAGGACGGCGAAGTCTCACTGAGGTCCGCGCGGTGCCTCCCTCCGCTGGACCCGCTCAGGTCCGCGCAGTGCGTCACTCCGCTGGGCCCACCAGCAGCCCTCGGAACTGGCGACAGGTTTCGCAGATCGCAGCACCCCAGGGATGGCGACGTTTCGCTCAGGTCCGCGCGGTGCCTCACCCCGCTGGACCCACCAGCAGCCCTCGAAAGCGACGAAAGTGGCGACAGGTTTTGCAGATCGCAGCACCCCTGGGACGGCGACATATCGCTCGGGTCCGCGCGGTGCCTCGCTCCGCTGGACCCACCAGCAACCCTCGAAAGTGGCGACAGGTTTCGCAGATCGCAGCCGCCCCCCCCACCCCCCGGACGGCGAGGTCTGTCTCGCTCAAGTCCGCTCGAGAAGTGGCGCGGCTTCGCAGATCGCCCCCACCCAGGGACGGCGACATCTCGCTCGGGTCCGCGCGGTGCCTCACCCCGCAGGACCCACCAGCAGCCCTCGAAAGTTGCGAAAGTGGCGGTAGGCGTCGCAGATCGCAGCCCCCCCCCCCAGGACGGCGTGGTCTCGCTCAGGTCCGCGCGGTGCCTCGCTCCGCTGGACCCACCAGCAGCACCCGAAAGAGGCGACACTTTCGCACATCGCAGCACCCCCCCGGACGGCGAGGTCTCGCTCGGGTCCGCGCGGTGCCTCCCTCCGCTGGACCCGCTCAGGTCCGCGCGGTGCTTCGCTCCGCTGGGCCCACCAGCAGCCCTCGAAAGTGGCGACACTTTCGCAGATCGCAGCGACCCTTGCTCAAGTCCACGCGGCGCCTCACTCCGCTGGACCTTCCAGCAGCCTTCGAAAGAAGCGACAGTTTCGAAGATCCCACCAACCCGGGTCTGCGCGGTGCCTCACCCCGCTGGACCCACCAGCAGCCCTCGAAAGTGGCGAAAGTGGCGACAGGTTTCGCAGATCGCACCCCCCCAGGACGGCGTGGTCTCGCTCAAGTCCGCGCGGTGCCTCACTCCGTTGGACCCGCCAGCTGCCCTCGGATGTGGCGACAGTTTCGCAGATCGCAACCCCCCCAGGGACGGTGAGGTCTCGCCCAGGTCCGCGCGGTGCCTCACTCCGCTGGACCGACCAGCAGCCCTTGAAAATGGCGACAGCTT